TAAGTAGAAATCCGTCCTATGCAAATGTTACAAATTTTGACATTGAAAAAACATTTTTTGCTGTTCGTTTTTATTATCCTATCATTATTATTCTTATTAATATTATTATTATTGTTATTATTATTATTGTTTGCAATTATTTTTCTTTTCAATTATTACTTTTCTCATTTTTTAGTCTGTTTTTAAACTTCCAATTCCGTTGCTTTTTTATTTTTCAAAATTTTTATCACCAGAAGCTATGAATTAATAACGAATGCATGACTGAAAAAGGTGAATGAATGAATGAACGAACGAATGAATGAATGAATGAACGAATGAATAAATAAATGAACGAACGAATGTATGAACGAATGAACGAACGAATAAAAGGATGAAAATTTTTTTTTCTCTGTCAGTTGAGCACGTGAGAGCTGAAATTCATTTGCATTTTCATGCATTTTTTAGAACTTGCCTTTTGCACGTACAAAGCAAAAATTAAGAGAGAAAGAGAGAGAGAAGAAGAGGAAGAAAGAAAAGAATAAAAAAAAATCGAAACGAAAGAGAGAAAGGGAGTAAAAGAAAAAAACAAAAAGAAAGAGAGAGGTTTAAAAAAGTAGTAAAAAATATATAAATATGAGTAAAAGAAATAAAGATAGAGATAGATGAATAGAGAGAGAGAAAGAGAGAGAGAAAGAGAGAGAGAATGAGAAAGAGAGAGAAAAAGAGAGAAAGAAACAGAGAGAGTGAGAGAGATAGAGAGAAAGTCAGTCTCACTTGAACATTGAAAAGCAAGCACACGTAGATATAAATTATAACTCCTACTTACTGGAATAATTAACAAATAAACAACATCACCACAAAAAAAGCTAAACAACAACAACAACAACATTAGTAACAACAGCAACAAAAACACCACCAACATCAACAACAACACTAACAAAAACATCAACAACAACATCAACAACATCAACAACATCAGCAACAACCACAACAACAAAAACCGCAAAAGCAACATCAACAGCAACATTAACAACAACACTTTCAACAACAGTAATATTAATAAATACTTTAATAAATGACATTAATGCGAACAAATATTTCATAATAATAAAATAATCTATCTTGATTGATAACCGGTCATGAATTATAGGTATGCCGGTAAATAAAAAAAATATTAATGTCATTAAATGAATGAATGAATGAATGAATGAATGAATGAATGAATGAATGAATGAATGAATGAACAAATGATTAAATAAACAAATAAACGAATCGATTGATAGACAGATGGATAGACAAACGGATGGATGGAGGAAACATTACTAAAAGAACGAACTAACGAATAAATAGATGAATGAATGAATGGGCAGATAGATAAATGGATGGATGCATGGATTAATGGATTAATAAACGTGTGAATGAATGAACGAATGAACAAATGAATGAACGAATTAAAAAATGAATGAACGAATGAGGAACAAACGAACGAACGAACGGAGAAAAAAACATGTCGCGAATATTTTGTAATAATCTAGAGAATGTGAGAGTGATTTAGATGTCTTACTGGTCAAGCACGCAATTCTTGTTGTGGTTGCTACAAAGTTGATGTCATTTTTGTCGATGACGTTACTGATGATGTCATAGATATTGTTGATGCTGTTGTTGTTGTAGTCGTTGATGGTGTTGTTGTTGTGGTTTTCGATGTTGTTGTGGTTGTTGTTGTTGTGGTTGTTGATGTTGTTGTTGTGGTTGTTGATGCTGATTGTTGTTAAAAACGATCCAATTTATCACCAATGAAAATAAGTAGAAAAACAAATAATTACATAATTACACTTGGCGCCAAAAGAACCTCACATATTTTATGTATGTGTGTGAATATGTATGTATGTATGTATGTATGTATGTATGTATGTATGTATGTATGTATGTATGTATGTATGTATGTATGTATGTACGTATGTATGTATGTATGTGTGTATGTATGTATGTATGTATGTATGTATGTATGTATGTATGTATGTATGTACGTACGTATGTATGTATGTATGTATGTATGTATGTATGTATGTATGTACGTACGTACGTACGTATGTATGTATATATGTATGTATGTATGTATGTATGTATCAAATCAAATCAAATCACTTTTATTCAATCAAACAAAACAAAAGCATGAATGATTCGGAGACCAAAAAAAGAAAATTAATTCTTGTGGGCTCGGCCACCGTGCAGCTCAAAATTGCTTCTCAATGATAAAATAAAATTGTCAATAGGAGAAAATGTATCAATGTTAATGAAATATGTACACACTTATATACATATATATACATATACATTATTATCCTTGAAAAACAGAACTTTTCGTAATTAAAAAATTTTTCAGTTTATTTTTAAAAAGATGCAAAGTGTTACAATCTTTAATTTCTTGTGGAATCGTCTCCCATATTCCTGGGCCGGTATGTTTCAAACTCATGCAGAGTACTTTAATTCTGGCTGG